GGACAGAGCGTCTCGCGAACCATTCGACCGTGGTGAGAGGGAAAGGACAAAGCGAGCTAGGTCGTTTCTCTTATATACAGCACTCCCTATTACAAGAGAAATTTAATTTATGGATAAAAAATGAAGAAAACCACAATACTACACACCATTTTTGGAACGAAGTTCCTTATGGGACGATGTGGAGGGGTACCCTAACCGGGAAAAAACGTCCGTAACGTAAGATTTTATTATTTACTAGCGACTCGCCCTCGCTTCGCTTCGGAAACATTAAATTTTATTATTGATAGGCGAGTCCCGCCATATTGCGCGCGGTACGACAATAACTGCGGGTGACGCCGCGGGGCAAAGCTAGTCTAAAAAAAGGTTACGGTTACGGTTAAGGTTAGGTCTAAGTTACTCTTTATATCATCAGCTACCTATTAGTGAAAATTTCATTAAAATCGGTCCAGCCGTTCCAGAGATTACCCGGAACAAACAGACAGACAGACAGACAGACAAAAATTGTAAAAAAATGTTATTTTGGTGTATGTACCGTATATATATTCATATGCATGTAGTAAAAAGCGGTTACTTAAATATTACAAACAGACACTCTAATTTTATTTATATGTATAGATGTATAGTTTTAGTATGATGGCTATACAGTGTCTAATGTATAGTCTACGTGATGACGGTTATTATTATTCATAATAAATAGCTGTTTCTTTGTATATTATTATTATATACTTTTTATAAATCATTGTGAATAAAATAAAGTTGATAACTTTGTAAAGTAGTTTTTATTTATTTTTATCAATAAAGAAATCATAATAAAAAAGGATACCCGAATAATTATTTTCTTTATACCTCGAATAGAACTTAAAATTAATATTTTTATATTAAGGAACTTCCTTCCTATCCGGTGTCCTACGACACCACCCATTTTTTTTCCTATTTAAGTTTATTGAAGATTGTAATTGTAATTTTGTTTATGTAGATTGGAGTTACTTGTACGGTCTGGCATTAAACCAGCAAACTGTCAGACCGCACGATTAGCTCGTCCGTATCGCCAAAGGTTTTGTTTTGATATGAGGAACCGAGCAGCCGAGGGTACGCCGCATGGCCCGCACTGTGGCCACACGCCATGTAAGTTTCGGGACACAGTAACGAGCAGTTTGTGGTCAACCTTGCCGACTGGAGAGCGCTGAGGATTGTGGTCGGATCGTTTTGAATACGTAGGTGTCTAATCTTTATGATTAGCAAGTTGTATTAACAAAAAAAAAAACATATTTATAAACAAATCATTAGAGTGATTCACAGTGTTATTTGTCGTTTTTAAATTAAAAATGTATGGGCATATAAAGTCGTATCTTTTGAGAATAATAAAAAAAAACTTTGTGTTTATGATTTCCATTCTTTTTTTGAACATAAATAAAAGAGTAGTGTAAATGTGGTGTAATTAATGTAGTCTGTCGATATTGATTTGTTATGTTGTAACTCTAATTAATAATAAATACAATTTAAAGAGTACATGCTTAATTTACATTACAATTTTAGTGAGTTGTTGAAAAATAAAAGCAGAAATTTCATTATATGTTTAGAAGTCGTCGTGGCCTAAAATATAAGACGTCCGGTGCATTCGTATCTAGCGATGCAACGGTGTTCTAATCCCGCAGGCGGGTACCGATTTTTCTAATGAAATACGTACTTGAGAATGTTCACGATCGACTTCCACGGTGCAGGAATACCATCGTGTAATAAAAATTAAATCCGCAAAATTATAATTTGCGTAATTACTGGTGGTAGGACTTCTTCTGAGTTCGCATGGGTAGGTACCTCCACCCCGCCTGTTTTTGCCGTGAAGCAGTAATGCGTTTCGGCTTGAAGGGTGGGGCAGCCGTTGTCACTATACTGAGACCTTAGAACTTATATGTTAAGGTAGGTGGCGCATTTACGTTGTATATGTCTATGGGCTCCAGTAACCACTTAACACCAAGTGGGCTGTGAGTTCGTCCAATCATCTAAGTAATAAAAAAATATGTGGTATTTTTATTTTTTTATTATAATTGTACCAGCGACTAATGTTAAACATAGCATATCTTGATTTTTAGAATGATCTATCGTGATTTGTTCATACTAAACTAATAATAGGTATTATAAATTGGAAAGGGAGTCTGTTTGGTTGTTGGTTACTCTTTCGAGTCTTGACTGCTTATGATCGATTGAGTACCTAATTCATTTGTGTATGCACGTTGTCAGGAGCACAGATTACAACACGTACCTTTTTATTAAAAAATGTCACTAGGGATATATTATATGTATTTCATTAATAAGCGCAGCTGTGAAGCTAGCGATGTGGCAGGCAAACGCAAATTACAATTTAAAAAAAGAAAAAAAAAAATATACCTATATATATTTTGCTTAAACGGTTCAACAGAGTCACGGATTACCCGGTACTATAATATGTTTATCAGCCCCCATAGACAACAACAATGTAATAGCCACCACCCATCGACGTGTTAGTTTTAATTCTCAGTTCCATAGTACAATCGAACCAATAAATAGGTAGAAAAAAAAACCAAACCATTATATTAGATATTGAGGAGAAAAATATAACAAACTATTCAGGTTTAACTTAAAAAAATTAAAGGACATTACCTTAGAAAGTACATTCATTTATGTAAATAGAAAATTTGTTTAGAATACGCACGAAGCATTTGAAATTGGCGCGCTGCTGTGTCTAATTTGTGCGCATGTACGTGCAAGCTAGACGCAACACATCTTCTGTCTCGTTTCCCCCGAATGAGGCCTGCGGATCGCGGCTAACCCTCGGCGCGAGGTTTGCGGCGGGAAAAATGTGTGTTTCGGTGTGCCGATAGCGGAGCGCCGCAGGTCCGCAGCCCCGCCCAGCCGTGCCCGCGCCCGCACCAGCGCCCGCTAACGCGTCTTGAGCTACTTAGTCGATAAGACGACAAACACACTGCGCCTTAAATAGCTTATTTAACAGACCTTCAAACGTATTCATTTTAAAATGCTGAAACGCTACTAAATTTCACGAGTGACTACGATGTATACTGTAATCGTTTCATTATTCGTGGAGATATTTTACGTCGATAATTATTTTGAATACTTTACTTGTTACCATGTTGTTTTTTATTGCTCGTGGATTCAGACGAGCATACGGCCCACCTGATGGTGAGTGGTTATCGTCACTCATGAACGTCAGGACTTCCAGGGACAGGGTCAAGCCACTTAAGTAATTAATCGCTCAGATTATACTGCATTATTTTTAAATATTAACATATGACATCATGTATACAATAATCAATATGAAAATACAAAGTCTTATAATTTTTTACTGGTAGTAGTACCCTTAAAGCTAGGCACTACGAAGCTACCGGGAGCTTGTGAGGTTATAGGTTACTAGGTAGGTTAGGTATATTATAAGGTTTTGGTTGTCATTTATTCACGTCATAACGTGACGGGCCCAAGGGCTTCGGAAAGTAGTTAAAAATAATGGTCAGTATTAAACTAAGAATCCTTGGACGAAAAATATATATTTCAAAGTTAAATATACTATTATAATAAATTTTAGAATTATATGTGAACACAGTCTTACTATCCGGCCAGATATGGAGCCGCGAGCTGTCAAAATGGAGTGGGAAAAAAGGCGGGAATGCGGCGACGCTTTATGTGAGGCTCGTCATTGCGCCAGACAGAGAGCAACACCCGCGGTCCCTAATACAAGACAAGGATGTACAACGCAACGTGGTTTATAAGAAAACCCAAGACGTTGGGCGTGTTTGGCGGGTGGGCGTGTGGGTTCGTCGGCGTAGTGGTGAGCTGCGGCTGTGTGCGTGTGTGGCGACACGTTGCGATCTATCTGTGTGCGTGCCACGTGTCTGCGGACCGAGAGCCGCTGGAAGTGCTCATCCTTTTGTCAACAATACGCCGCTATATCGGCTTCAGACTTTAGTTATTAAAGTGCGCAGTTAAATTTTATGACGATATAAAATTTCCATTGTCGGCTGGCTGGAGGGTGTTCTGAGGTCCCTTATGCGGCGACTCTTGGCATTCGAGAAGCTCTTGTTTTCATCTGCATGATGAAAAGCGTAATTTGTATTCCAGACGAATTTTCTCATTACGCAATTTATACGTTTTCGTTCTGTTGGCGGTTCGTAGGCTTTCGTAGCGCTATTGAGCTATGACAATTCTAAGAATCTTTAGAGATGTTTTGCAGCAAAAGCGTTACTAAAATATGCAACGTACATCAAAATGTAATTTAAAAAAATATTTAAAATAAACTTCCTATTAAAATTATTTAGGCTCGTTGTTAAGGTTCAAAGTTTTTCTTTTTTCTTTTATTTAGTACTAAGTCTAATCGATTTGATTTTAATTTCAATCTTTTCCAATTTTACTTTTCGAAGTATGTCATGAAACAAAATTTGTTTATGAAAAAAGTTTTTGAATTGATTTCGGCTTTTTTCATTTGAAAAGATTATCAATGCAATTGCTTGTTTTTTTTTTTCTTACGTAAAATATATGACTAAATCAAATTCTTATTAGCTTTTTTAGCAGTTAACTACGTTGGTTAAGAAAAAAAAAACTAAAAGTTAATATTAAAAAAAAAACAATTTTGCAATTTTGTATCTGTCAATTCGATTTATTATTTATTAGTTAACGATCACCAAAGAAATTTTACATATTTATATCCGCATGTGTTCTATGCAGGAAGCAGCATATTGTAAGACAATTCGCATGTCCCACACCTAACTATCTCTTTTAATACTTCGTGCCGCGACACGCACACAGTGTCGCTTGCCCCCCGTGTAGTCGCGCAATGCATTTGTGTGCGCGGACTTCTTTCGCCTCGCCCTTGTGTGCGGGAGAATTTCTTTTGAGACGTAATAAGGGGACCGTTTCTTTCCCCGCTAAGGTTTTAATGTCGACCACGTTTCGGCCGCGAACGCGCGCGCCTCAGCGGTTACCGGTAAAAACTTCATTCTGACAACTTCATTCATTGTGACGGATATAGTGTTGTGTTTTTTTTTTTTTTTGGTTATTGTTGACAAAAGAATATAGAGCTGAGGTACGAATTTCAATATTAAAGTTTCGTTAATTAATAATGTGATGCGAGAAATTAATTAGTACGAAGTTTGTTTAAGTCCGCAAACTCGAGTTTGTAGGGCGGGCGGGTGCTCACTTGCGTGTTGTTTTCGCGAAAACCGCAGGTTCATTAGGCTAGGAGCACACAGAGCCGCGACGATTAAACTTGTAAGATAACGGCACATATTGTGATAACGTTGGGTAAACTGCTTGTAACGCACGGGTCATGAGTTTGATTGGATTAATTAAAGTTTTGTTTACATTTAAACGATGCGATGAGATATTATTTGAGTTGAGACATATAAAGATGATTTTATTGAGTAAGTTCGTTTTTTATATACGTAAGTTTTGTTTATCAAATTTAAAGTAAACTAGAGGTCCTGCAGTAGTCGAAATTCGACTATAATTAATTGGAATTGTAAGTTTGTACACTATTATGATTGTATTTTATACTTCTACTATCACAAATTTCGCCAAGACTACACTATAAAAAATATTAACAAAGACAAACCATATTCTATTCTCAATTTGGCAACAGACGTCAAGAACAAAAGTTTGACAATAAATAGTATGCATGCGTGTGTGCGTCAAATACATGGTATGTAGTGTGTGTAATGTTTTCTTTATTGATTTAATGTATCTTTTATGCATTATTTCAAAAAATATTAGCATTGTGCACTTTTTCTCTATATTCTCTATAAGTGTGGAAAATTTCATACTCCTCTGTCGGCGCAATTTTCGTAAAAAGGGATATAAAGTTTTTGCTTCACGTATTAATATATAGATGTACACATATTACACAACACATACAACTTGACTTATTGTTTTTAGAAAACTTAATCGCATGCTTAATGACTCAGTTTGAACAATTTTACATTCAGACATATTTTTTTTTACATCATAATTTGTGATATAACTCTAGCAAAGTCCATCACATAGTTCATCACGTATTTTCAATGAGACGGCAACTTTTCATAAATTTCCTAACAAAATAAAATTCGTACAATTAAAAATAAACCTTAAGAGATACTAAATACATTCTACATTGCGTTCACCACACGCACCTTTACGCCATTATTTCTCCTCGGAAGCGGAAACTTGTTAAAAAGTAGCCGAGAACTGCCATTAGAGAGACTGTTCCATAAACTCGTTGTGTGTAATTGTCACCTAAATTTTACACCCATTTTCTGTTTTGTGTTAGGATCTTCCATTCACGTTGAATGTTCAAAGACGATTGTTATTTATTAAAAAGAAACACACACACACACACACACACACACACACACACACACACACACGGACCTTGAGTAATGGGTACTGTTTTTTATGAAATTCGATCGACGATTGACTTCCACGGTGAAGGAATAACATCGTGTAACAAAAATCAAACCCGCAAAATCATAATTTGCGTAATCACTGGTGGTAGAACCTCCTGTGAGTCCGCACGGGTAGGTACCACCACCCCGCCTATTTCTGCCGTGAAGCAGTAATGCGTTTTGGTTTGAAGGCCGAGGCAGCCGTTGTAACTACACTGAGACCTTAGAACTGATATCTCAAGATGGGTGGCGCATTTACATCGTAGATGTCTATGGGCTCCAGTAACCACTTAACACCAGGTGGGCTGTGAGATCGTCCACCCATCTAAGCAATAAAAAATATTATTGGCTAAGCATAGGCTGCTATACTATATGGCGGTATAGTATAGCGTATTCTGAAAGAAGCTTTAGTCTTGGAATTGTTGACACTCACCATCAGGTTGACTCATTAGTCTTCTATGACCATAAAAAAAGACTAAGAATACTAGCAGTGATTATTGTCTTAGTTTAAGTTCGGTTCAGTTTAACGAATTTATGAAGTGATGAGCTCTCACTTGAAGGATTAGATCTTAACTAGAGGTCCCGCAGTAGTCGAAATTCGACTATAATTAATTGGAATTGTACCTAAGTTTGTACACTATTATGATTGTATTTTATACTTCTATAATCACAAATTTCGCCAAACTACACTATAAAAATATTAACAAAGACAAACCATATTCTATTCTCAATTTGACAACAGACGTCAAGAACAAAAGTTTGACAATAAATAGTATGCATGCGTGTGTGCGTCAAATACATGGTATGTAGTGTGTGTAATGTTTTCTTTATTGATTTAATGTATATTTTATGCATTATTTAAAAAAAATATGAGCATTGTGCACTTCTTCTCTATATTCTCTATAAGTGTGGAAAATTTCATACTCCCCCGTCCGCCCAATTTTCTTAAAAAGGGATACAAAGTTTTTGCTTCACGTATTAATATATAGATTATTTCAGTGTTATTTATTGACTCTTTGATATTCTGGTCCAAGGTCGGCTGGATTCATTTAGTTAATCTCTCTATGGACTCTGAGAACTTTACATCAGCTAGTTCTTGATCCGTCTCTTTTAGTTGGTACTAAAGAAATAATTAAATATACTTTTACGATTCAAAATCGCGTTTTATGTTATCAGTATATTATTTCCGATATCACGAATACTTTAAAGTGGTAATGAACAACAGTCGTCTGTATCCTAAGGTAAATGTAGTTATTAATTACGAATTTAATTATACGACTCGCGAAAATCGAACAATATACAATTTGCTAGATATATGCTAAGTAAATACATGCTTAGTAATAATATTTTTAAATACTTTTTATTATGACCTTAATGTCGTATTTTTACATTGAAAACTATTTGTAATTTTACCGAATGGTATACATATATTAAATGAAATCAACTTCTTAAGCTTGATTGATCATTTTCTATAAATTGGAAATTACAGAGCATATGTTTAAGATTCAATTTTCTCATTAGGGCATATTGTTCACACACAAAAAGATATAAAGAAATCTTAATTAACATACTAGAGTTTGCTCATGTTTCTATAGTGTTGGCTAAGTACAATTACATTTCACAGTTTTATTTTCAATTACATATTTGAAAAGAAAGCATATTTCGACTATCTTAACTTTAATTATTCGAAATTTTATTGTATTAATTCACCTCTTTCGCTAAAGCCGTGAAATTTTTTACGATATCCTAATACTCTTATAATAAATTCATGCATATTAAGTCAAAATGATACATGGATACACAAAATATATATTGACTCGAAAAACATTACTTGCCTAATGGCACAGTCGGATTAAAAGTTTTTAATTTCAAATATAACATTTTGATGATTTTGTTAGTTTTGCCCATTCCTCTAATCAGGATTATACCAAATTTTACTAGAGAATGAGTCAGCAGTTTCAAATGGCAATTTCGAAGTTTGCTCTGATGGCGTACGTCAAAAAGGAGTTGACGGTAACATTTCAAATAATTCCTCAGAGCACTCCCCGCGGTATGCACGGGTTCTAAAGTATACGTGTGTAGTTTTTGCCTTCAACCCCGTGTCGGAGTTAATGTAAACATAATTATTTATTTAAATGCAAACGTTCGTGTTATTATTCAATGCAGGCTCCGTAATGAGCACGCATTATTCAGGATTTATCTAGAGTAGAAAGGAGCGAGTGTGGTTCGTATTTCTACACTCATTATGTTTGTACGTCGTGGAGAATGACCTTTGTATTGTTAGGACATTTTAAATGCCGTAACGTCATTATATAAGGATGGCATTATTATAACAGGACCTTGATTCTTGAACCAACAGATTGACATGTTTTATTTAAAGTGATAATTTTACGCCAGGATAGTGACACGGGCTACCTTTTATTCCGAAAAGATAAACTAAACTAACGCTTTTCCTTGACCGTGTGGGCGAAGCCGTGGGTGACAGCTGGTTATTATATAAAAAAAAGTTTATTACAATGAACTCAGTTCAACCGAATACGAACGATGACGGCATGGCTGCTCAGCCATCTTTGGCGCCAGCATATAAATATATTCCTATGTATATGTATGTATAAAAATGACAACAGGCGCTATTTAGTGAATATACACCATCAGTAAACAACTCACTCGTATGCTCATGTGTTTTTGAAGGTAATACATGTAGAATAGGGATCGCAACGCATCAAATAAAAGTTACACTGTTCTAAAATCTTCTGTTATAATAATAATTAAAAATTAATTAACACTTTTATTACGGCTTGCTCATTTTTTTAACCGTCTTCGCCATCTTCCTTTTTTCTGTCATTCTGTCTGTCATTCTCTTCTCCCTTTCTTTCCGTTTTCTCTCACTCACATCTTAACGCTCCGTTCCACACTCTTTTCATACGTTCCGTTCTTACCAATCCTACATTAAGAATAATAATAAATTATGCGTTTGCCCCTACACCGATCGTGTAAGACTGCAGAACACAAGCAGAGTCAACGTTAGCTTCACACACTGCTGCCCGGATCGAAAATAGGGCGAGGATAAGAATGAACCCCGCTGGATGAACTCTGTCCGTAAATTGTTCTATCATGATATCGTAATTGATTTTACCAAACTCAGTGGTTACAAACGAGGACAATACTTCATATTCAGTCTCGTTTCATCTCTTTCTTTCATCTTTGTCTTGTCTCATTGTGCTGCTTATAAAATATGAGGCGTTTGTGTCGCCAGTATGTATAGCCATTTACTATTTAATTCACATTGATTGTTTGTATTTAAAATCAGATCACTAAATGAGGCCGTCAGCGCAAAAGTGGCCTGAGCTTACCATAGTTAGTATGGAGATAATGAGGTTCGAATTTACCTTTACAATACTTCGTAAGCAAAAAAATACGCGCTAAAATGTTGTTCACAAAGTCATCTGTTGTCTATGTATTGAAACTAGGGATAGGCCGATTTTGCACCAAAATTTATTATGTTTTAAATAAATTGCAACACATAAGCATGAATATGAATTATGGGTTAGGTAACTTTTGCGCTGACCGCCTCAAATATGATATCAGATCTGCAGTCTAGAAGTTTATTTTCATTGTAGCATGATAAGTTTCATAAATCAATAAACAGAAACGATTTAATATAAGG